GATCCTTGTCAACATGGTGCAGAGAGCCAGTTACGGCAAGAGCTGCCACACAACAGAAAACTGCATAGAGAATAAACATGGAAGTTAAATCCTTTTTCTATGACATTACTTGTGAATATCCTTCATAATGCACAACTAGAACACTTCTTATTGCCAAGAAGGACCTTTCAGGGCAGCTCAATGAAAACTTCAACAATATGTAAAGAAGAGTTGAGCAACAATACTGCATGCAGAAAGCTACCTCCTTAACTCTTATAATCAGATAAGTCCTGATACACCCCACAGCTCCAGATGCACACAGACATATCCAAATTCGTGAATATGTTGATTGAAACACCTTAATTAATTTCACTAATTTGACAGTCATGGTCAGATTGAACCATGATGCAAATGTTAACTCCAAAAACGTTTTAAATCAGACTTCAATATTTGATATTGCCGTATAGCTATGGTTTATCTTTTACAGGAATCATCATAATAAGCATAATAAAATGTAATATTTACTCGAGAATACAGAGAAAAAAACAGATCCCAAAGCGGAGTATATGTAGGGTATCCATGAAAGAAGAGACGAGCAACGATTTAGTTAAGAGATTGAGGACATACTTTGACCAGCATGAGACTCCGCACCAGGGGTGCATCCAAATCCACCATCAAGATTCTTGCAACTCACAATATAATTCACAGCTTTCTCCACATTAATCTTATCCAAGCGTTTTAACAACGCAAGAGATAATATTGCAACACAAGAGAACCTAAAGATGTAGTAGCGATATTATATTTCCCCACAACGGACAATGTTCAGAAAATTTTCAAAGAAGAGTCAATGCATGGAAAGAGTACCTAGTATCAATCTCGCCCCACATGTCACCAGAAAAGGATCCATCATTGTTCTGCAAGCCAGCAATATCTAGCTCCAAATGTCAAGTTCATAAGCCAATGACAAAGTAAATTCACTGTTTTGAGGTCATTCTATCACTTTGAAGTTAGCCCTTCTTATATCACCCGTTACCTCATTCCCTTCAACAAAATAGTTTTTGACCCATAAAAATTGCACATGGAAACAGCACCACAATCTTCACAAACATGTAGACTTACTAAAACTGAAAAAGTCCATTGTGGCGACATGCAGGTATCAGCACTGACACAAGTAATCAGTCTTCTCAAAATAGATTGCTACTTTGTCGACCTTGTCTACAAGTAATCAGTCTTCTATTAAAGTACACTACCTAAAGCCGTTATTCCTACAATGTCAAAGGTATTAAGTTACAGTAGTACTTATAATGAGTACATGGCTAGGTGTAGAATGCACCAAATAAAGTTCACGTTAAATATACTTCTAAGACCACCTAAACATCCTAAAGAACATGTCAAAGGATACAGTTTGACACTTTATCAATGTCAAGTGCATCTATTTTGTCGAATAGAGCCAAAACTTGGATGGCACTGAGGGTATACAACAGATGTGGGTCATGTCCAATATTACCACCAAAACCACCTGTGCAATAGGCACACAGCATAAGCCAAATTTCTAAAAGTCCAATATATCAATAAATCAGCATCCTTTTGCGGTAATGAAGTGTAGAACAAATTAAATCTCCGTTCAGCCAAAAAAGAAATGGCAAAAATGAAGGTTAGACCTTGCAGAATAATTTGCAATCTAAGTGATAATTGTGAGAAAATTAAAAGAGGAAACGAGATGAAATAATAACAAACCTGACTCATGTTGGCACTGCATCATCCAAGAAATGACCTCATCTTGATCGACTGTATTAAGCTTCCCTAGAATATCAAGAGTTGTCAATGCCCAGTATGCACCATTCAATCTGATATGTTCCATCACGACAGATTCAAAACTATCCTTCTCCTGAGCACAACACGCCAAAAGTAATTTCAGTTTATTCTTCAAAAGAAAAGTAGCTCAACTCCCAAAATCAAAACAAATTTCAAAGTTAAAACGCGGATTCAGGATGCATATCAGACGCTTTTCATACCTTCTCAATCGTTAAAATGAACTTAACGTGCTTTTCCACTGCCAGCTCTCCCATGCTGCTATAATCTAACATATTCATCATTGCATTTCAGATGAACATCAATAAAAGGAAAACGGAGACAGAAAAATGGAACCAACTTATATGACTTCTTGATGTTTAACTCAAATTTTGAATTTCAAGCACACTATTCAATTGATCAAAACCTTACTGTATCTTCTTACATGTAGCCCCAGCCTCAAAACCAACATTAGAGATAAAACCTTTTCCACTATTGAGCTGGTTCAAAGTATATTACCTTCTTCCAACAAATTGGATCCATCAAATTAATTTAATGAATAATAAATTATAAAAATCAATACTCCCAGGATTACTATCATTATGCATAGCTACATTCTTTATCCCCCCTAAACCATTCTCATAACTGAAACAAATTCAAAGAATATCTTCTTTTTTCACAGCAGGGGATCCATCAAATTTGCTGAATAAAAAAGTCATGTAAAACTAAGCATATATGGAGACTGTGTTTTATGCCCATCATCAGCAATGAAGAAAGACTTCAACTTGGTAACACTTCTTGATTACTGATTCATGATTTCCTTAAACCCAAAAAAAAAACAACGAATTCTGAGACTTTATTAAAATTATTCAGAAAGCGGTGCATAAACTAATAAATATATCAACAGAGAAATTAAACACAAACACATACCTCGATTAGCGGGAAAAATGCGAAGTTTTGTTAACGACTCTAGATTTGACAGGAGGAAGAAGGAAAGCTTCTTTTTCTTCCTGCTTAAACGTTAAGATTTTTGGAGCTAATGGCGGAAACGGCACCGTTTCAGCATATAAACGAGTAAATTTCTATTTAATCCCTGAAGTGTTTAAATAATTTCAATTTAGACCCTCATGTTTAAAATAAAAGGACTAATACCCCTGACATACTGAAATTGCACCATGTCGGTCCCAGGACCCAGCCTTGAATGACAAGGCCTTGGTTTTCTTAGGACACTGTTGTGATAGAAGCCTTGATTATACTGTTGAATTCATATGTATTTCAGTTTACGCATATACAGACGCAACAAAACTAACTTGTTCATGCAACGTTTCAAGCTCAAGCCTATATGTATTAGTATTTCTTACTAGTTCTTACCGATTCAACTCAGGAGTGCAACTGCCTTTCGTCTTGTATCTTGCCTGCATTAAGAAAATGTTATGAAACCACAAACTAAAGGAATTAGACTACGCAAAATTCATTAAAGCGGATGAGAAAATGAAGATGGTAGAACTTCGCAAAATATATGTCTAGGCTCAAGGCAGTACAAGATGTGACATGATAATTAACAAAAATAGAGGGAAAAAAAAAAAAGGAGGAGGTACGCGATATTGGCGCGGCTCAATCAGACCGTGGGATCGAGTGAAGTGGTCGAAAGCAGAGTGTGATTGAACCGGACCAATATCTCGGACTAAAATGTACCTCTGCATTAATGGTGTTTCAACTGGTCAAGTTTGTTAATGCAGAGGGATTAAGGCTTTTTTATAGGAAGATGTTTGCCAAAGTTGGTGGTGGAGGGTTTTGATTAAGTCCATGTGATGAGAAGACGAGAGCGGAGAGGGGGAAGAATTCTTGGACAATAAGACGTGAAGAATATTACAAGAAGATGGTTGCCAATTTTTTGAGAGGTTCTCTACGCAAAGCCGGCCATGCCAACGACACAAGGAAGCAAAGTAGACGACAACAAGCAAAAGCATTTAGGTTTCTTTGTATCCATCCCAATTATGATTAGACTATATATACACATAATTCATTATCCTATCAGCTTTAAAAAACAAGAAAAAAGGAAAAACCATTTATTCTGTTTATCTAGAAATCACTTGCCATACAACAAGAAGTAATTATGTCTGTAGAAATCATTCATCATGAACAACTTCTTGTTATATACGTAATTCAGGGTTTGAATAATTTACAATATTGTTCTCGTATGAATGGTCAAATCCATAAAACATGATGAGTTCTTTTCTGAAAAGATTTCTAATTGTCTGAAATCACCATGCATTGTTTGGCACTAAGTACTACTATATACAACAGCAAGAATAGGTCAATCTAACGTATTAAACGACGACGGGTTATCCTATTAGAAAACAGAATTTCAAGCCTCAACCTAGTCGTTACATATATGGCCAAGTGCGGATGAAATATGAGTAGTGTATTTGGAGGACAGAATCAATGAGATTAAACTACTTTCCATTTTGGGTTTTGGCCCCTACTTTACTAAGGAGTAGATTGATTGATTGATTCTGTCGTCTGTTCAAGATAGTTTTCAAAATACAACTGACAAGAATGGATCCAAAAGAAGTTTGTCCTTCAATGTTGGTTGATGCCCTTTTTTTTTTTAAATAATTGGTGCAATTATCATAGATGAAGGATTTGCTTTTTAAAAGGAATTGATTAATCAGCAGCAAGGTTTACATCCTCAAGATCTTGAGAATTTTACTTGTGCACCAATCGTTTCTGATGAACAGAAATTTCTGCATCTATGCCTAAAAGACGTTCACATGATTTGTCCTTGTACACAACACAATGCTGGAAGATAATATCCCTAACATTTTTCCTCTCTTGTAGAAGGATATTATCAGTAGCCAGTACACGAATTTTACAGCAAGAAAGATTATCTAGCCAGATTACTGAAAACGGGCCAAGAGAATATTGGGCCAACTAGAGGCCATTTTCGTTTATTTCAAGCAGCGAGACTTGCCGTCCTAGGGTGGCTTTTGTAGGATTAACACCGAGATCAGCCCAGCTGACTTTGGGTTGATCTTGACAGTTGATTTGAAGTTCAAATGAATCATTTGAGTTTCAAATCAATAGTTGAGATCAGTCCAAGATCGACTAGGCGATCTCGACCGTTAAACGCTATCTGGGGTTGCAGGTTCGAATCCCTTTAAAACTAGCCCAAAAGAAAAAATTTGACTAGTGTTATTGCAAAACAGCAAAAACCAAGAGTCAGCAAGGACAAAGAAAATGCACCAACTTTCAACAGTTGCCTAATGTATAATAAATCTTTACTGGAACCAGCAAATATATTTTACACACTCTTAGCTCCTACCATAGTCTGGTAGATTATGAGGTAAACCTCAAAAAGTATCAGTCAATATGTAATCCTATGCCCAAATGATCTGTAGCATGACCACTTTAAAAGCTTGGTTGCATCATGTCAGCCAAGTCTCAACTAGTCAGAGCAAGAGAGACAAAAAGGGCAACTTGTACATCCCTGGTTCTCAACCAGCATACTGAACAATCTTCCTTTCAAGTGAGCTTTTGTCACCACCAACAACCACGTCAACCTGCTTTCCATCTTTTATAAAGTAAAATGTCGGAACACTGCTAATTTTCCAGCTTATAGCAACATCCACAGCCTCATCAATGTCAGCTTTCAGAAACACTACTTTTGGATGCTGCGAAGCCCAACTAGCATAAATAGGAGCAATGTAACGACAGGGGCCACACCATGTTGCTGTGAAATACAGAATTGCCAGCCGGGATGTCCTTGCAGCAGCATTCAACATACTCTCCAATTCCTTCGGAGAATGGATCCCAATAACTTGTCCTGTAAATCAGAGGGAAGAAAAAAGTTGACACAAATTCCAGCAAATGAATCAGGCTGTTAAATTACCAATTGAGCATCAGAGTAAAATCATAACTTGACAGGACCAATAAGTAAACTGGATAGGGACCTAAAGCAGCATATCCAAAAAACTTTGGAAAATGTGATCTATGTTATCAAGATAGAATATTGGAAGATTAGTGCTCAAAGCAAGAAACTAAACCACTTTTAGTTACAAGACACTAGATGGAACATTTATCGTGATAAAAAGTAAAGGTAAGAAGCCAATCAACAAAGCAAACAGTAACAGTTCAAGGATAGTACAAGTGACAGGGACAATTAAATCATGCATTCTGCCAATGCCAGCAGAGTGCTAGGAAAAGAAATCTTGTCTAAACAACTAATGATAACACACCTCTCTGTGCAATTAGAGTCGTACAAGACACAGAACTGCCAAGCTATGCTAGCAAACAGCTACTTATATGATGCACTGGACAAATGAGATGATTAAAGAATGACACTTGAAAAACCAATATTTACCACCATTCAAGACATAAGCAACACCAGTTATATATTCAACCTGAAAATGGTATAGAAGAAGACATACCATCTTTCAGGACAGAAGCAGCTTCAGGATCCTGCATCCAGCAAAATGGTAACCGACCTTAAACTAGGATAAGATATATATGCATGTGTGTGTCTGTGTTTATATATATATATATATATATATAGGAAAAAGCAAGAAGGTTAAAGGTACTTCATTGCATTTATGTAAACTTTGTAATATTATGGCCTTGTAACCTGTATTTATTAATTCCACTATTCATGAAATATATGTGCATGGAAGGAAAAAAATTTTAATGTGATATGAGAGAAACACTTGCAGAGAATAAGCTTCTATATTGCATCTAGACCCACTTCAGAGTTCAGATCTATAGCCATACATACAACGACTTGACCAATTCTCATCCCATAAACTGTGTGATACATTCAACAATCATCTAATGCAGGTATAAAAAGCCTATTTTGTAGTGTAACAAGTGACTCAAAGACAAAAGTCAAACTGCAGCAAGCTGACAACCTAAAAGAAACAAAATTTTGCAGAAGCTGTTTACGAGCTACTAATCAAACAGCAGGCATGACACAGAAAACAAGCTGGCACAACAGGAGGAGAATATAAACTCACCAAGGTTTTAGTTTCAGGAGGCTGTTCCACCTTCTTGCCCTTCTCATTGGAAGACTGCAGTAACAAGTCATAGCTCAAAAAAGATCATTAAGAAACTAACCAATGAAGGATTAAAACTAATCTAAAAAAAAATATTTCTGTAGTGTAACATGTGACTCAAAGACAAAAGTCAAACTGCAGCAAGCTGACAGCCTAAAAGAAACAAATTTTGCAGAAGGTGTTTACGAGCTACTAATCAATGCGCAGGCATGATACAGAAAACAAACTGGCACAACAGGAGGAGAATAGAAACTCACCAAGGTTTCAGCTTCAGAAGGCTCTTCCACCTTCTTGCCCTTCTCATTGGAAGGCTGCAGTAAAAGTCATAGCTCCAAAATGATCATTAAGAAACTTACAAATCGAGGATTAAAATTAATCCCAAAAAAAAATTTCAATATTAACCTGGGCTTCAGCTCGCCGCCATCGTCTCTGACGCTGCATTTTTCTCAATTCCCTTTCTTTTCTCAAGCGGTCGTACTTTCGACGATGCTCTTCAATTTTTTGGGCGTTAGGTTCAACCTGCAATTTTAAATTAATCCATGGAAACTCACAGTAGCAGAATATGAAAGGAAAAGCAGGAGCTAAAGGCAAAGAAAAGGGGGAATCAGAAAACATGATTAGTTGAATGTAAACAACAAAAGGTCAGACTAGAACCGGCTATTGACAAGCCAATGCATTACGCATCTAACTCAAAAAGATAAACCTTAATGGTATACAATCTTTTTCTAAAGTTCACAATGGAATTAAGAACAGACTAATTCCAACTAAAGTTACCGTTGACAGCACAAGCTCGAACCAGAATTCTCATGATCTACAATAAACTTGTACCGTTTCATTTCAAACTCCAAATAAACGACAAATTGCAACTGATGGAAAGGGAAACAAGATATGCTAAAAATGTCACCAACATTATCTCTCAAAATCAATCGGAATGGAAACATTCTTGATACCAAAGTGTCAATTATTTGTATAAACTCCTACAATAAGTAGCCTTCAAGTCCAGAATCAATAATCTCTGAATTAGTAAAAGTCATGCCAATTAAGACAGATTACATAGCAGAAGGAACAAATAACAAGCCCTGACAACACATCCCAGGGAGCATCTGAAAATCTGGTCTCGTTGTTCCCAAAACGTACGATAACGAAAATAGTCAGACAAATTTTACAAATGAAAAAAGAAACAGCGATTTCAAAAATTTTACAGGAAAATTGCTACTTACTGGCCCAATTAAGCATACAAATTTTAGCATTTGAGTCATAGCTTTCAATTCAAATTCATGTGATAGCATCTTATAACAAGTTAAAAAAAGACAGACAATGAAACTGGAAATGCAAAACCCCCAAAAATTCAACAAGCAGCATGATGAAAATCTGAAAAAAAAAAAAAAGGGACTAATTACCTCTTCCTAATAAGATATCAGAAAGAGCTGAAATAGACAGAATCTGAAGTGGATACAGGCTCTATACTGGTCAAGAAAAAAGTAGGATTCAGCCGGTCACCGTTATTGATAAATAAGGAGGCAAGAAGCAAAGAAGAGAATCTAAGAGAAATGAGGTTAGGGTTCTTTACAACATGTGAGCTATTTAATGATAACCTGGCACCATCATTCAAAAGATCAACGGTGGGGATAAAATTCAGTCTGCCAGAAAATAAATAGGTACTTAATCTAAAACATATTTTCATGGAAAATTTATGAGGTTTCTAAACAAACATATGTCTATCAGTTGCAATTTGGGCTTCAGTTATTCCATGAAGGTGCAAGTGGACCAATCTTAACTCAAACTCGATTACAAGGAGATTTACATAAAGCCTAGAACTCAGGCCCAAATGTTGTTGTAGGGCTTGACATGGTAAGAGATCTATGAATGGCATCTATCTCTATGGAAAGAAGCAAACCATAAGTGGAGCAGCTTGATACATCCAAATCGCACTTCTATTGCATCATATGTCTTTTTGTAAAAGGTGAAATACATCGACATCCAAAGGTATGAAGCATTTCCGAGTAAGACAAGATAATTACCTTTTTAAGCTCAATATTAATCTCCTCATCATAGTCTAACTTTGATGCCATTCGCAGATCACTTGCAGCCTCCTCCCATAAACCCAACATAGCCCTTGCTATTCCTCGTTCTTTATAACCTTTGGCTGAATCAGGGTTGATCTGAGGAATTTAGTCAGAACATTAGTCGAGTCTTTAATTACTAAATATATCTCCCCAAACTTAATAATGATCACAATAATGTTCAACTCAAATATCAACGCGACTTCAATGCCAAAGATATATATTAAAATCTAGTGGAATACCTGTAACGCTGCATTAGCATCATGGATTGCAGCATTTGGCTTCTTCAGCTTAGCAAAAACACTAGCTGAAACATGTATAATGGCATTTCCGGTCAATATCAAAATCATATGTCAAGAATACCTAAAAGATACTACAAGGACTTGAGGTGATTTACATGCATGAGAATTACCTCTAGTAGCATATAATATTGCTGAAATTGGATTCAGCAAAATAGCTTCAGTTAGGTGATCTATGGCTTCATTCAGCTTACCTACAAGGAAAATAGTTACTATGGTAAATAATGCATAGCAGTTTTAGTAGGAAACGCGTTTCAAGGTAGCAATAGCAAAGAAACAGACCCTTAGCAATTGCATCTATAGCATTTGACTTGTATTCTTGGGCCGCATCTCGACTTTCCTCAGTTACTTCGATTGAGGGATCTCCCATCTGTTACAAAAACAGAATAATATCTCCAATAACAGAATACATTGGAAAGATTAATGACTACAACGTATATCAACTCAGGTAAGTGCTTCCACCCAACACCTTCTGCGAAGGATCGTTATCAGGCTGCACAACATCAGCATCATCCAATTCAAGATCAGACTCAACAATGTCTTCATCTGAATTTTCTGCACTTGATGAATGTTTCTTGGAATCACAATGCTCTCCAGAATCTAAAATGTCCTCCCGATCTGTCTCCTATACAGCATTCTCCATTGTCAATGCAAAAAGAAAATGCATACAAAATCTGAATAGATCCAACTACGGCAACAAGGGATTCATATAAAACTACGTAATAAATCATAAAGAATATACATTTAGTTAAGCTAGAACTCATGCAATGCTATTGATGGATTTATACGATGTCAAGTCTACAAAGCTACGTTCAGTCGGAATGTAACTTAATTTCCATCCATAGTCCACATTTTACATGTTGGAAACTTTTTCTAAATTGCGCAACACGGCCAACCCAAATATTGGAGGTATTAAATAATTTAGTCTCTCAAGACTTCCGTCTCCAATTTTGCATACGACGTTTCCACAAATGCATTCATCCTCCAAGAACATGCTAGTAAAATAAACCAATTAAATAGAGCCTCGTACAAACTAGTACGAAATGGTTCACCATAAATGACCAAATTCTGCATTCTAGCAAATGATGTAAGATATATAAAACCAAAATGACACTTTCCCGTATACTAAATTCTCAGGACTCTTGTAGCAGTTTCATTCTGTCGACATTATCCCATAGTAAAATTGCACACGCCAACTTTTACTGTATCAACCAAAATTCATGCACTTTTATAACGCATATGAACAATTTCACAAAAAATTAAGTGACTGACATTTGAGCAAGTAAACAAGCAAAACTACTGATATTAAAAAGGCTTACTGATTTAGCGGGAGGCGAAACACGGGCACCAAGGCTATACAAAAATAATAAATAAATAAATCAAAAGATCAAATTTTTCTACATAAATTAACCCCACCAGAGATTGAAACCCAAAACCCCAATACAAATGTTATAGAAAAAAAAATGAACTTGATCAATTAGAACACTAGTAATTCAGTTAAAAATGGTATATCGAGCACAAAATCTTTACCTCTGGAGATAATTTTTGAAGAAGGCAAGAGAAGGGTTGTGTAAAATTGAAGGGTTGGCTTTACATTGTTCAATGAATAGCTTTAATTCTTGGAGGTTTTCAGCTGCTTCCATTACTGAGAACAATGGTCTCCTCGTTTTCTCGTCCGCGTCCAACTTCGTCAGCACCGAGGACTACTAAAACCACAATTTTACCCGAGGCGTGCGCTTTTAGTTAAGATGACGAAATTTAAGCAGTTTCTGGAATTTTGTGGTAAATTTACTAACCTTCCCAAATAATTAATAAATGTTTGGCACCCCAAGAAAAAAAAATTTTTCTTGTACTTAACACTTCTTTTTTTTTTTTTTGGGGGACACGTATCTTACTACTAAGCCAAGATAAAAGGGGTGTCCTTGGTAACTTTGTGTGCGTTTCAAACAGTAAATTATAAGCATTGTCAGGTGATAATAACGCCAGTAGAATTTTGTAATCGTCTTCGTCTACATTTAGCACTAAATATTCTAAATGCTATAAGTATTGGTAGCTGATAATATTAGAATTTTTTAATGAAGTGTTCAGCTTGGGAAAGTTGCAAGCGACTTCTCTTCTTTCTTTTTTTTTTTTGGTTTAATTTGTGAACTAAGGTTTGAGCAGCCTTTTTCCCATCACTACTCATCCTTTGATTCTATCCTTCGATTTTATTTTGCTTCACATGTTCATATATAGTCGACCTTGTTGCTTATGTTTAAAAACCAACTTACAATTGCATTTTTTATGAGTTTCTATGAAGGAACGGAGAGGACAATGCTGAATTGAGAATTCAGAAGAAAAAACAAGAACATTAACTGGGGTGGTTGTACAGGAGAGAATTCAATTCAATATATGTTCTTTCTTCTTGCCTAAATGCCAGGGCGTCTAGCAACTTTGAAAGGCTTCTTCTTTCCCGGTTAAATTTAATTCCATTCAAACTAAGACTTAAGCTGCTTCAATGGACAACATCATTCTTTTTATTTCTATCCAGCTCATCTTCAAAGAAATGAGCAATTTCTGCTTGCAGTCTTCCATAATCCATTAGAATAATTTTCTGCTTGTAATCTTCAAAGAAACGAGCATTTTCTCTTGTAGTCTTCCTCCTTCCATAATCCTCCATTACAATAAGGTGCTACAAAGCGCACGAAACACTACTATTCAACCAAGGATGGGGCAGGGCTTCCAACCTCAAGTTCCAAGACATGAATACAACAGTAGGCTCCTACTGTAGTACTAAACTACTATATATTACAGTGTGGCTATCAATGAACATTAATTGGTTTGAACATGGTCAAATGAAAAAGGCCCTATTACAACGCAATACAATACTATTACCTAAAATCACATCTAACCTGTCACAAAAAAAAAAAGCCAAAAGAATACAACATAAATACATGTATTATTGTCCAAAACTACATTTCCTTGAGCTTATGCTTCCATTTTTTTTCCCCACTTTTGGCCATCTTACATCGGATCTTCCCACTCTTCCACGCAAAGCTAGTTGATGGCCGGGAGAGGACAAGAGCCAGAAGAGTTGACAGAGATGCTTCTGCCACCAGATGCAGGGCTGCCACATTCTTCAGATGGCTTGTTGGCATATGGTGATGCGCTCAATGTCCTGGGGCACACAAAATATGTTAATTGAGATGCAAGAATCCAGCTTTCTAATCCACGTTTTGCTTTTACCAATTCTACACACAGCCATATCCATATTCAATTGGTTACCCAATCTTGCTCAAGTACTTCTATCTGTATTAACTTAATCATTTTTATCCACCAAACAACTTAATGATTTTTATCCACCAATCTTGCTCAAGTATTTCTATCTGTATTAACTTAATGATTTTTATCCACCAAATAACCCAAGGAAAATCGATAATTACCTTTCCTTGCGCTTCTCCAAGAATCTAGCCAATGATGCCTTGCGAAACTGAGGCACAGCAGCTTTAAAAATGGACATTTGCAATGTATTATGAACAAGTTCGCAGCATAGGATTTACACAAGAATTACAAAGATATATTTAATGGCACATGAAGTCCACAAAAATGCAAGAGAATATACCTGATGCAATTAGGGAAGCAGGGGCAGATCCTAATGGACTGGCATTTTTGGAAGGCTCCCCTTTACTGGGTGTTGCTAGGGTCCCAATTGTTCTCATTGCAGTTGCATCGTTCGGTATGACAGACCTTCCCGGAGTATGGCAGGTTATAGAAATGGGGCTTGAAATGCATGGTTTTGCATTATTTGACTGGTTCACAGCAAAGCTCTCAACAATGGATGGCCTAACCATGGGTGCCTGAACTGGAGATATAGGAACTGCAGGTACTGCAGCGACAGTCGGGACTGGGGGAGAAGGCACTGGAGGTGCATTTCCAGCCAATAACATTATAGCTTGAGCCTATATCCAAATACATGTTGAGATGTTAATAACCAAACAAACACCAAAAGCATCAATTAACGGATAAAGGTAACAACTGTAACCTTTTCAGGAGAAATGTCATCATATACACACACTGAACCGGCATAGAATATGGTCAACTGAGCTGGAGCTCCTGAGGTCTTAGAAGTGCTCCTGCAGAACAAAGCAGATCAGACTTTACGTTTCCGTCAACATTCGTAACATACAATTACTACCTCAGAAATGGTAAATGCCAGTTAATATACCGTAACTCGGTGGAGCCCACTAGCGGACTCACAGAATTAACAACTGGAATCGAACTTGGTGCTGGAAGAGGTTGAGGGGTTGTAGATCCAATCAGATTCTGTCCAGCAGGAGAAGTAAAGTACTGATGAACAGGGGCGGGCATAGTTACTGAAACCGTTTGTTTTGTTTGCGTGGTAAGTGGGATTCCTCTAGCTTCAAGAGGACGATGAACTGAAAGTGCATCAAAAGGTTTTGAAGGATAGGTGGTTGCAGTATAGTGGGTTCCCCCTTGCTTATCAAGAATCATCATATTTTTCTGAAAAACCAATCAAAAAGCAGAATAGGCATTTGAGAAAAGCAGATATTCAAGTATCACGTGTTTAACACAAAGCTTCGAACTTAAATGTATCTGTATTATCAAAGCTTTGAACTTAAATGGATTTGTACTTATGAAGACTACAAGGGGTGCCTATTTGGACTATACAATTTTTTGAAAGTTCAAAAGAAGATTTGGCAAAGGAAAACAAAGATAACCTGCACAACGGATGAATAAGGTTTCTGACTGGAGTCAACAGCCTCTGTAGTGGTTATTGTCACTAATCCAGTTGTTGCCAGAGCCTCAAAGCCAGTTTTAGGCTTATCATCTTTTGCACCTGCACCTGCACCTTCGAAAGAGAAAAACTGAGGGTTGGCAGAAGCCTTGTTCGAGAATGACCACTGCATCGTTGAACCTCTCAATGGAGCTGCAGATTTGAAACACAAGAAAAATCATTACCAACTTAGTCTTCGTTAGAAATGCTAAGTAATATACCTATTACTTAAAAGTAAAAAAAAAAGAATCTTCATACCGATTATTAGGTGTAAAATTACCTAATAAGCAACTACTAAGCAGTATATTTGGTGAAGTAAAAGTTCAGAGAAACAAACAGAAGAGAAGCCAAGCCTCCTCAACTATGACTCAAAGTAACCTATATAATCTTTCATTACCACTTTTATATTTGTATTCTTCAAGTGTTCAAATAAAGAACTCAAAGTGCTCGATGAGTGCAGCTGTAAAGGGGAGATGAACATGTTCATCAACATATAAAATATGAATAACTAGGCATCTCATGCGCATTATAATAAACAATTGTTATACCCATCAAGGCATATTAACTATTAATTAAAGAATATGGAAACCCTTCTGGTCAAAACAACTTAAGATATTGCAATTAAACATTTCGGGGTTTACAATCTGATTATTTTATTAAAGGCATCATTATTAAAAAAATAAACATCTTTTTCGGTAGGAGAACAGAAGCACGATTGTTTAATATATATATGTAGACGACTTACTTGGAAGGCACAACTTCTTGCAATATAATAACATACAACATTAATCAAAGGTCTCATGAGGTGCATGTTAGCTAATGTACAATTTAACTAACACAAGAAACAAGAAAGGAAATAAAGTATTCCAAAGGAAACTGTGCTAAAGTAAACCAAGTGGAAAAGATGATGACGAAAGAAAACAACCAGAAATCTCCACCTTTCCACAACTACACTGGTAACTACAACAAATAAAAATTCATTCTTTATTCTCCATTTGAATTTTCTTAATAAACGTGAACCACCCCACCATATGTCTTCAGGTTGCAATTTATTGAACCTCAATAAAACAGGAGTGTTAGTAACAGCTTAGAATAACAGTCAACAGTGAAAACATGTTCCCGTAGCCAAACCCTTTGACAACTGAGAAATCTGTAACTAAAAATACAGGCAAGAATCAAAGGAAATCTTGAAAACCCATGTATTATTTTGGTTTCTTGATTTAAATGTCCCCTCGACTTTGCTCAAAGTTGGTTTCTTTACAACAAATTTAGACAAAAGCACCTTTTTTTTTTCAATAAGGCATCTTATGTTCCTTTGTCCAAACCAAGCTGTCAGCTAAAAAACTGCAAATTCATATGATAAAGAAGATAAAAGAGAAGCATAAAAAGCTCACATGGACTACCTGAATCTGTGGTTTCCTCAGGAACTTCTGTCTTCACCGTCGCAGTCTTCAAGCCCATGAAATCTCTCTCCATTCTTTAAATCAACAGAATCTAGGAAAAAATATTCCCTTTGTGTGAGAAGATGAGAGAATTAATCTGGGATCCTTTGTTTTTTTGGCTCTTTTGGCTGCTGAGGGAATGGTTTTTGTTGTTTACTGTCTATGGTGGAGAAGGGAGGAAATGAAAAATGAGGGAAACAAAATGAAGTCGAGATTGTGATTTGAATGTGAAAAATGAAATGATCCCGATAATTCAATGATTCTAGATCAAATCTAAGCCGTTCAAACTTTATGATTAAGCTTTTGAGTCAGCGATTTGTCTGATAGTTCCCTCTCCGTGGACCGGCTATAGCCTGTTATAGATAGGTAGGCCCCATGGACGTAGTTTCGTCCTTACTCTTTATAGTATACCTTGAAAGGAGAAATTACTGACTGAATAGTGAAAGTCAACGTTTGTGTATCGTTGACGATGGCTATACAAATTTGCAAAGCTCAGACTTGGACTCAAACAAATAAGGCTAAAATTTAAATCTTACTGTTACATATTCAGATTAGTAATTTCCGATAATTCAAACTTTTATACGGGAATTGTAAATATT